GCTCCTGGGGAAACAGAGTATTAGATCAACCTGTGTTATTTAAATAGATCGTTGGTTTACTTTGAATTTTTTTTCCTCCATGTTAGAGGTACCTAAAAGTTCCTGCCAATTTGAGACACAGCTACATTTCTTGTTTTCAGCTTATGAAATATGAGTATTTCTCTTTTTTTTTTAAATCTTTATTGTTCAGATTATTACATTTGTTCCTCTTTTTTCCCCCCATAACTCCCCTCCTTCCAGCTCCCACCCCACCCTCCACCCTCACTCCCCACCCACTGAGTTCATCCATAGGTGCATGATTTTTGTCCAGTCACTTCCCGCATCTCCCACACCCCTTTTCCCCAAAAAATAGTCAGTCCATTCCCTTTCTATGTCCCTGATTCATTATAATCACCAGTTCATTCTGTACATCAGGTTATTTATTCACTTGATTCTTAGATTCATTTGTTGATAGATGCATATTTGTTGTTCATAATTTGTATCTTTACCTTTTTCTTCTTCTTCCTCTTCTTAAAGGATACCTTTCAGCATTTCATATAATACTGGTTTGGCGGTGATGAACTCCTTTAGTTTTTCCTTATCTGTGAAGCTCTTTATCTGACCTTCAATTCTGAATGATAGCTTTGCTGGATAAAGTAATCTTGGTTGTAGGTTCTTGGTATTCAGCACTTTGAATATTTCTTGCCATTCCCTTCTGGCCTGCAAAGTTTCTGTTGAGAAATCAGCTGACAGTCGTATGGGTATTCCCTTGTAGGTAATTGAGCCTCTTTCTCTTGCTGCTTTTAAGATTTTCTCTTTGTCTTTTGCTCTTGGCATTTTAATGATGATGTGTCTTGGTGTGGTCCTCTTTGGATTCCTTTTGTTTGGGGTTCTCTGCGCTTCTTGGACCTGTAAGTCCATTTCTTTCTCCAGGTGGGGGAAGTTTTCTGCCATTATTTCTTGAAATAGGTTTTCAATATCTTGCTGTCTCTCATCTTCTGGCACTCCAATAATTCTGATATTAGACCGCTTAAAGCTGTCCCAGAGGCTCCTTACACTATCTTCACACTTTCGGATTCTTTTTTCATTTTGTTTTTCCAATTGGGTGTTTTTTGTCGAATCTTTGGTTTGATTCTTGTGCTCCTCTGGTCTGCTATTGGGTATAATATTCTTTATTTCAGTCCGTGTATGCTTACTTTCTAATTTCTTTATCGTAGCATCGAGGGTTTCATTAGTTTTCGTGAGGCTCTGCACAAATTTATGGCAAGCCCTCAAAATTGCGATTCTTAGCTCCATATCCTCCATTTCTGTCATGTTTTTTTGTCTCCGCATCTTATTTGCTTTCTTGGTGCACCCCCTTGTGGTCTCTGTGCGCAGTCTTGTTCTAGCCAAGCCTTAATTGTTGTAGTTAACACTAGAGGGATTTGACCACCAGGCCGACTGGCTGTAGGAATCAGCTGTGGAAAACGTCCGTCTTCTGGGGAGGCGCTAGTCCAGCCTTTGCCTGAGGCGATCGGCAAATGGCCGTGCGCAGGGTTTGGGCGGGGCGGGCTCAACAGGGCGGGGGGAGGGAGCAGCTATGGCCGCTCTCAGTCGGTCCCCAGGGGCTCTGCCTCTCTGTCCCCGTAACCGCTGCAAACCTCGGAGGGGCCGTAGCCAGACAGTCCCGCTTCTCCCGTTTGAGTCTGGGTCCCTAGAGACTCGCCCGGATCTGTAGCCCAGAGTCTGAGACTCGCTTCTGATTGAAAACGACAATCGCGCCCTCAGCCGCCAGCCCGCTTTGCGCGCGCACCCTCACCACCGCACCGCCGTACCTTTAAATTTTCCACACTGCGCCTCCGCTGAGCGTCGGAATGCTGTTGTTTTTGCTTCTAGTTGAAGAGACTCTCCTCAGCCAGCCTTCCCGTGGTTCTGGTTGATGTCCGCTCCGACTTTTAGTTGTATTTTTGAAGTGGTTGTTCGAGGCAGCAAAGTCCGGTGTTTACCTATGCCGCCATCTTCTCGTCCCTTTTCCGAGTATTTCTCTTTTTAACTACCTTAATAAGGTTGTCCCTTCTTTCCTTCATAATGTTTATTATATACCTTCACTTTTATTCCTCCTATCTGCTTTCCAATGTTTTAAAATACAAAGCATTTTTTAAAAAAAAATACTGTTTGTCTTATTCATGTAGAACTATGTCTAATATTAAGGCACTGACTGATGGGCACAGTGCTTGCCTTGGAGTATATGCCCTCTGATGTCTCAGATCTTTTCCTTCCTGCCCCTCAACTGTTCTTTTTCCAATGGGGGTTTGACATCTTCTGTGTAACCAACATAGATGCTGTTTGTTTAGCTTGTGGCTAAGACAACTGAAATAATTCAGGGCTTTTATTTATTGGGAATTTAAAATATTTAAAGAATCAGTACAACCTGGAAGAGTACTTAGAACATACATTATTTTGGCCTGAACACCAAAAAAAGGCAAAGGGTTAAGTTTGAGGGCTTACTTTAAAAATCCACATACATGGCATAATTTATATGAATAATTAGAACCCTTCTATTAGCTACTTGATCAATTTAACTCCTGAGGGAATGAATGCAAATAGACATTTGTGCAAACAAACATCTCCGGGAAGCATTGGGTACTCTCTTGATAACAAGTAGATTTGCCCTGTGTATTGCAAGGAGATAGACTGACCTCATTAGACTATGGACTATGGTGTACAAATACATACCTGGTATATTTCTGTATTTCTCTTTCAATTCTAGACCAGTGGTCCCTAAAGACCAGTAGAATAATACACAGGTTACACGGGTCACTGAAATGACTTTTGGTGAGATATCTGTTTTCACAAAATCTAAGAGGTGACATTCTGATGGACCCACTAATTTCAATATATGAATACCACAGCCTATTTTCTTCAGTATGAAAATTGAGTTGGAATTATGTTTTCTTACTTCCCAAGTGAAATCACTTCGTAGAATTTTTATTCATAAATAGAAAGAAACAGTTACCACAGGAAAATAATTTCTTATGTGTTCATACAATTCTTTTCTGGAACCAATAAGACTTTGGGTATATTTAAACTTCTTAATACTATATATGTGCTATCAAACACAAAAGGGTAAATAAATGAATGGCAAAGTATAAAAATGTTTTAAAGGATTTGGTTTGCAGGTATATATGATACTCCCTAAATCCTATTATTTAGAAAGAACAGATTAAATCTAACAATTCATGCTCCTCTAGCAGACCTCTGTGTTTCTAATATTTCAGAGGTTTCAATGTTCCCCTTGATCAACTCAACTAATTTCAGAAAGAAAACATAGTCCAATGTCCATAGGAATTTACTATTTTATGGGATGTATCTTCTAAATGGTAGCCCCATTACAAACAGTAACACATATGATGGTGTTTGGAAATGTATTCTAAGATGACTCCAATTATTTCAAAAGCATACATTTCAAACATGTGCAGTGCCAAAATAATTCCTTTTAAGTCTGATTAAACTTCAGTACAAATATAGTTAATACTGTTAATTCTACTTTACTTGGGCTGCAATTACTGATTTCCTTACAAATATATACAGAGTTGATAAATTCAGCTATTTAAAATTATACTCAATAGTTTAGTATAATCCTATATAATAAAAGGCTAATATGCAAATCCACTGAATGGTGGAACAACCAGTTGTTATGAGGCGTACTGACCACCAGAGGGCAGATGCTCAACACAGGAGCTGCCCCCTGGTGGTCAGTGTGCTCCCACAGGGGGAGCACCACTCGGGCAGAAGCCGGGGAGCGGGCCTAAGCCGTCAGTTGGACATCCCCCAAGGGCTCCCGGACTGTGAGAGGGTGCAGGCCAGGCTGAGGACCCTCCCCCCCCACGAGTGCACCAATTTTGTGCACCGGGCCTCTAGTTTAGTATAAACTACTATAAAATCATCTCTTTTTTGATTTGACATAAAAATAGAAACAATTTTGAGATAGTTAAGATTTGGAAATAGAGCTAAGTTGTATTTTTAAGGCCACTTGTTAGAATGCGATGTTACTGAATATATTCCACCTAATTTAAAAATTTTTATATTTATAATTTAACCTATACCCCTTTCAAAGTGCATTTTTTTCATTTGAAAAGTCTGGATTCTTTAATTTTGCAAACACTACTAGTGCAAGAGTGGTAGTTTTTATTTAATAGAATACATTTTGAGAAATTCCAATAGTGGTTTACAAAATCCAAAGAGTCAGAGATTTCTAAATGTTGATAATAGAAAAATCCTATCTATTTGCTGTACACTTTATGTTGCCATTGGAACTGTTTGCATTAACATTAAACTAATGTTTTAAAATACATAATATCTAGGCCCCAAACAACTTGATAACATTCTTCAACACCTAACACCAAGTACTAATTTCCAAACAACTGGCAATAAACCAAGATTCCGGAGAGCAATTTCTCAGTGCCAGCATACTAGTATGCAGTATTTGACATACAAGCATCAAGTATTCCACTTCAATTAAATAGAACCCAGGAAAAATGATGCCTTAACTCATTAGAGGGCAACTTAACACAAAACTACAAATGCATAAAACAAGAATCCCTCCTACCTTACTGAAGGCAGAGAAGAATGACTTTAGAGTGTTAAGAGGTGGGTTTAATTCTTAATTTCTTTTTTCTTGAACCTCAAATATAGTTAATGAACACACCATACTAAGCACATAGGAATTTAAATGGTAAAAGTTATTAGATTTCAAAAGCAGACCTCTAATTGTTTCTAATGATTATATTTGCACTATATATTAAAGTTACAATATTAAATAAATGAAAACAAAGAGAAAAATCTAATGGGACTAAATTACACTAGTGAATTTTACTTTCAATGCAACCAGTAAGTGCAACAATTGACCATTTTCTCATAAATTATGCATTACAATGAAAACCAATATATAATACTGGAGGCTGATAAAGACGTAAAATGTGGTTGCCTATTTGGATAATGAACATTTTTATAGGCCTAGCTACAGAAATAAGCATACATACCCTGTTCTAACACTTCTTCTTGTTTTGGCTGTTGAAGTAAAGAAGTCTTATCTTTGTTCTCTGTTTCTGTAAAGGAACAAAGAAGCTGAGCATAAATTTGTAGTATATATTATATGCTCTAAGTAGTTTATTGGAAATATGCCACCAACATAAAAATATTATTCAGGGTCTTGTGTTTCATTAAAGCAAAAGTACTATGAATTTACATGTAGAAGTGCTCTAATTCACACAGAAAAACTAGGGTAACCACCAATAACTTAATAACTAGATCTACTACCCTTTCAGTAACATATACATGATACAGAATTTTATACATGCAATAATAAAACTGCCCGTATTTCTTTTTTTTTAATTGAATTTTATAATATTTTAAGGGTATTTTAAGATTTTAAGGCACATTCTTTAAATATATCAAGGATCTTAATGACCTGATTGCTATGTTAACTTCTTTCATAAATTTCCACCAGAAATTATAAGTTTCTCTGGTATTTTAAGAACAAACCTGCAAAACTCAGTAAAGTCTCGGCATATTGCATTTAATAAAACAGGGTGTGGGTTTTGAAATTTTAATCTAAAAAATGACCATCAATATGACTGTTTTGCAACAATTCTGAGAATGAGACCAAAAAGGCCAAGACTAGTAATGCTTCATAAATCAAGAATTGTTCGTGCTTGACAAGGCCATTAAACAGATGATTGAGGGTATGACTGGAAACGATAACCATTTTCATTGGCAAACTCTAGCACTCTGTAGAACATGGTATATAAATTCATAAATTGCATAAGTCACTACTGGCTCTGGGTGGAATGAAGTGGGGAAACTAGAAAGTACAACTTAAGTAAAGAAAAATCTAAATTAATGGAATCAATCCCCAAACTAATATCTTGCATCACTAGTTGAGATTTTCTACTTTAACTGTTTGGATGGGGGCATGTCAGGAGGGAAGGAAGAATGTAGAAGAAGGAAAAGAGGGAGTCAGATTATGGGAGCACATGTGATTGTCTGCCAGAGAAAAATGATTTTAAAAATTAATCATCTAGTCAAATGAAACACATAAGGCAACAGAAAATACAAAACCATATGTTACTTTAAATGACACCGATCTTACCTTTGTGATGTCCATGCATCATAACCATATCAGACTTCACAGGAATTGGAATATTGGCCTCTGGTGGTATGTTTCTGAACATATCCGGAGCTACATTCTGTGTACAGGTCATGAAGGAAACTGCATGCTTGGCTTCCATGTAATACATAATGTATAAGTTGCACATTTCATCATTAGATGTGCCACTGCAGGCAGGAAAAACAGACACAACAAATCAGCCAGTCACATAAAACACATTCTAATGCAAGAAAAATGTAACCAGTAAATCTGCCAGAAATGGATTCAAAAGTGAAAATACTGTGCATTTATTTTATGGCTTTCATTAAACCCCATCACAGTTTTCAGCACCAAAAGCACATTGTCAAAGGCAGAGTTCCACTTAATAATGGAGTATCCATTTGCAGTCACTCCATGGATATCACCCAATACCGCAGATGGAAATAGCATTGAAGTAGCAGTGAGATAACTGTCTTTCCTCTTCTACAGCCTTTTATTCTTTAGTTTTTCTTCCATTTGCTAAAATTCGGATTGGGCAAAGTACTTCGCTCATGGAAAAAGTCTTAATTATTTACTACGTAACAGTAAAATTCAGAACACTTAAGACAGAAATGTCGTGTATTATTTACAATTCTTTAAAAATGACTTTTTCCATTTAACCCTGAGAGTCCGGGAAGTTGTTTTTGCTTACTGCCTCCTCTCTTGTGGTCAGGTGAATCACGAATCATATATTGATACTAAGACATCATAACTGTGTCCCTGATATCTGACGTGGCACCCTGGCGTCGACAGCAGAGAAAAATGGGGCCTTGGATGATAGAAAAGGAGATCAGCCCGAATCTCTTCCAAGGGCTCAGACCTGAAGGGGATCTGCTGTGCAACTGAGTGATTCACTGTTAAAAACAGATGTTGCAACAGGGAGATGGACATTTCCAAGAAGAAGCTCCCAGGAATATAAGTAATGCCTAGTGGTGTAGAAAACATCAATTTTTCTTCCTTGGCTCACATGGGTTACTATGTATTTCTTTCTCTTCACTATCATTAGGAAAGAATGATTTACACCACCACAAAACTTGTATATACCAAGGTAGGCTGGGCACAGGAATAGTCCAGGAACTCTGACACTGTTTAGCAAGCCTATGCTAATAAACGAGTTACACAGTGGACTGTTTGCCGGGCAGAAATGCGTCACTGTTGATTTTTCCAGCCATGTCATGCAGCACTCACTTCCTCTCCATAGCAACAGTAATGACATCAGCAAGGGGAAGAAAAAAAGAAAAACCTTTTCCAAACAGGGATGTGGTTTCTCTCAGCTCTGAAAATTGAGAGCCCCTGAAAGGCCACAGGCATGCGCCCCTGCCCTTGGGAAGCTCTGTTGATGCTTTAAAAATAATTTGGCTTTTCACTCTCTGAATCTGATACCTGTGAATGCACTTGTCCCTCCTGTGGAATGTAAGCAAATGTTGAAGTGCAACCCCAAACAAACACCTGTTCCCCACACGTATCTTTAGGTGTCAAAACACCATTCCTAAGAGTTACATTTTAACAGCCTTGGAGGTGGTTAGAAAATTATATGCTGTACAAGGAATAGCTGGTGCTAAAGTAATAAATCGGAGCCTCCCACCATAGTGCCCTCCCTTCCCTGTTCAAAATGAGGAAAAATGTGCAGATCAAAAGAGAGAAATGATGAAAAAGAATTTTAAATTGTGGTTCCCGCTTAGAAAACCTGGAATCATCTAGCAGACAAACAAAGCAAAATAATCATATAAGCTTCTCTAGTTAATGAAAGAAAAAATTAATCACTATATAATAATAAATAAAGTGCAGTTGATCTATGGACAGATCCATCCATATTTTTTTCTGCTTGGGAACACCATGCCCATGTTCACTCTAAACATGTGACTTAGTGATACAGCCTGATCTACTCATCAAAGTAGTTCATTTAAGGTACTGATTCTGATTCAGAATTGAGTTGATCAAAGAATTTAAGAATCTTTGCTATTACAAAGAAAATTTCATTCAAGAACTGAAAAGAAAGTATTATTTTATTCCTTTCTATCTGTAATTAAACTTTTAGTCAAGCTAACACTGAGCTCTTATCTGAAACTATTATATCCTAAACATGTGTGGGTTCCAATAATTTTTAATGCTAGAGTTTGCCTATTTTATTTCACATTCATTCTTCTTTCACTCAAAAAAAGACAGCAACCCCCAAAACTGACTTTAGCCAGAGAAATTGCTTTCAGTATTCCTAAGGGATAATTTGACACTCCAGCCCTTATTTTCCATAGAGAACAATTCTGTAATTCAACTCTGTGAATCTGAGTAACTACTAACTTGAGGAAATATGGAGGGAGATTGTGTTCACACATCTGCCCTGACTCCACTGAATGGCCTTTTAAACATTCCCGAACGCTAGAGTGATTCTCTAAATGATTGCGGGCATCACCTAGATTCCAAAGTTACAGTGTGCATTCCTTTCACCTTCTTGCATAATAAAGTGCTTTGGGGATGACTACTTCTTTATGCCAGCTAGCTTTAAATCTGACAAAGGGTGACGAGCCTGGAAATAGTAAGCCTTCAGTATATACTTGTTAAATGAAGAAAGAATGAACAATCTATCTTAATAAATGTTTACAAATTACTATGGCATAAACTGTTAGCTCTGATATAGTATACCATATTGCCAATTCAGGTCAATTTTGCAAACTCAATTGGTCTATGGCATTTTTGAAAAATATTTCTATCTATCTATCTACCTATCTATCTATCTATCTATCTATCTATCTATCTATCATCTAGCTATCATTTATCTAGTATCTAACTGACTGATCCATCCATCCAGATTCTATGAGAGTTTCTAAAAAAAGTAATTATTTCACATTATAATGATATATAATAGATATTTAAGAAAGTACCAAGTATTCTGAAATGCACCATTTAAAAACTCCCAGATATTATTGTACATACACCTTGACTATGTCTCAGACAGTGATACTCCTCTTTGATGATTCACCCATTCCTAGCCCCTGTCCCTTATACTCAACAGATGTGAGGCTTAAAAATAACCAATGATGGGTACTACTAATTTTGGAAATAAATTGGAACATTTTAAAGAAGCTATTTTACAAAAATTTTAATTGTTTCCTAAGATGTTTCATGATGGCTTTAAACTTATACATTAAGGAGTTATTGATCATGTAACTCTATCTTTGCATATAGTGCATTTTTAAATGACTAAAGTGTTGTGCTTGGTATCTGTGCATATTCACTAGACATTCTTATATATACATGAAATAATTGGTTCCACATGAATAATATGACTAACAAAACTGACCAATTCTCAAGAACTAATTTTAATTTTTAGCATATAAACTTTTGGGCAAATTAGCTCACTTAGTTAGCTTAATTGGCTGACAATTAAATTCTTTATTTTTTCTTGCTTAAACTTGACTAAACATTCAAAATAAATTTAGGTGTTAGGTTAAATATAAAATATGTAATGCACTCAGGTATAGAATATTGTTTCCTCATAGGTTAATTAATACTATGTTGTCAGTTTATACATTGGGACAATTTTGTCTAAGAGATACTTTTCATATTTACTACTTTAAAAGAAATATAATATATCTGGATTAAAAATGTTACCATTAAGTATATTTATTGATCTGTGTTGTCTTAAACCCACCTATTTTTAAATGGTTTTATTTTGAGATAAATCCCAGGAATGGGAAAATCAGGCCTTATTTTTTAAAGTGTTGTTTTTTGTTTGTTTGTTTGTTTTTAGTTAACTATGATTGTTCTAACTAAGCAACATTTCCCCAGTCCTAAAATTTCCAGTTGAGAATAGCTTGGATTGGGTGGAAGAATCACTCAACTGAAAATCTTCCTAGTAGGCCACTGATGATACAATTTTCCTTTAAAACCTAGTTTCCAGATGGCTGCAGCATAAGGGTAACACCTCAAGGTGATACTTCGCCCAGTGCATGGAGGGAGTATCTACGGACCCCAGTCTACCTTTGGATATGTGGTATTTGTACTAAGTTGGCTTCATGTTCTGGACCCTAACACATGGGTTGGGGGTAGAAGGGAAAGGAAAAGAGGGAGAGGAGAATTACAGAGTATCATTTAATTTACTAGACATCATAAAATACTAGTTTTCCTTTTTTTACTGGTTACATTCTCACGGTGATTCTATAGTAGCCCATGGAAGTGGTATCCATTACTTTACACAACAGACACTGCTGCTATTACCTTTCTGACACTAAAAAGCATGCCAAGTGCTATAGGAACGCTAGGCATTATGATGAGAATTTTATTCATATGTATATTTATTCAAACTTGTCTTACTAGCTTATCATTCCACTGGAAGAAAATTGCTTCTTTAATATAAATTAAATATTCAGATTATGGACTTGCTCAATAACTTACTTTCCTATAATTTCTTTGTTCCATTTATCTTACGAAATGGCATTTCCTTCGGCCCACATGATATTTACAAAAAGAAAGATTAGTATAGTCATTTTAGGATATTATTTTAAAGCAAAATGCACATTATAAAAAGGGCAGAATTATTCTTAACTCACGAAACTGTGAGAGGCCTCCAGAGATCACTTCATTCTCTCATCGTGGTACTATCACAAGGCATTAATTTCTGTGGTTAATACTGCCTTGCCGAGGATAACAAAGGATAGAATCTGACCAAGGCTACAAAATCCCCACCCCAAGAGCAAAACATTCTACTAATTCCACACTTAAACTTGCAGACTAACACATAGAATGTGTTGAATGGGTTATTTTTACTACTTGGCGTACCTATTACAAAGGTTGATAAAATAACCAATGGCATTTAAGTAAAGTTCCTGGGGCTCTATATTAACATAAATCAGAGAACAACTGATCAATATCCTCTGAATCATATTACTTCACATATTTAAAGATTGTTAAGAAGTGAATTGTCAGACTCCTTACATCTAATTATGTCTACTTTGTCAACCCTTTTCTTACCATTGCCATTTCATGTAATTCAATCGTTTTATTGCTTTCCTCAAGTTCCTTTCCCAAATTCATCAAATTTATGCAAAAGTAAAGGTGTTGGAAGCTCCTTGTTTAATATATAAATTAATAATTTAAAAAATTTATTTTTAGCCCTAAAATTGGTGTTGATTGATATAAAAACTCCTTTAGAGTAACTAAAAAAAAAAAAATCCTACTCCACCATCTCGGGTGTCTTTTTCTTTTACGTGTATCAGTACTTTTTTCTTTTTCCCTGACCACCGACACATAGTACTGTCAAGAGAATCATCGCCAGTGCATCTCATGCTTGTTTTCAGATGTCTACTTTCTGTAAGTTCTCACTGATCCAAAGATAAATGCTTTAATTCCTGCTTCCAGGTGGCATCAATAAATATTTTATAACTTAGTTTAACATGGAAGGGAGGCTCCTTGTTTTATTTTTTTTTAACAAAAAATATGATAAGGGCCTTTAACCTTTATTTTTAATTTTGGCAAAATTTTTTGAAAGAGTTCACAGTGCCTTGAAATTTTACTTAGTGTTATAAAATACTAGAGGCCCAGAGCATGAAAATTCATGCTTTGGAAGGGGGTCCCTCAGCCCGGCCTGCCCCCCTCACAGTCCGGAAACGACCCGGCGATCAGGGGAAGGCGACACCCCCATCACACCTCTGCTGCTGCCACTGCCGGCAGCACAAGCCCCAGCCGGCCCTGGTTACCTGAGTCTCGGGCTGCTGCCATCCGAGGCTTGCCTGCACCTTGGCCGGCCCTGGGCGGTTGGGGGGGCTGGGGGGTCTCCGGAAGCAGGCACACAGAGCGGCCGGGCCCACCTGGGGGTAGGCCTGGCCTTGCCATGCACCTGCCACCCTAGCGGGGCTGAGAGGACTGGGCGCCACCATCTTTGAGGGCATGGCAGTCAATTAGCATATTCCCTCCTTATTAGATAGGATACTTATTTCAAGGAGGCTCAATATTTTGAAAATTATTTGAAGTCTGACATTCTCTTTTGCAAAGTGCTGAATATTATTATTCTCATTTGGTATAATAAATTGGAAACATTAAATATATGAAGTTTTAACAGGAAGAAAAAAATCATGGTTGTGAGTAATTGGTATGCACTAACCAAGTGCAGAAACCATATATTTGCTTAAGTTTGACACTTGAGGAAGCAAAAGTTCATAATCATTATATTTTTCTTTAAGATGAGTAATATAAACTCTTGTGGTAACCATAATAATATAGAGGCATGATACTGGAGGTCTTGAATAAGCAGGAAGAAATGAAGCATAAAAAGACCAACCATGTTCTAGAGTTTATCCAAATCAATCAGTTCTAGAATGATGCAATGCTATAGTTTGTTGTAGTTGTTCATGATAAAAAATAACGCAATTCATTCATAAAGATAATTGTCACCTATAATCATGCCTTGTCCCGATAAAACCTTTTTTAAACAGTGAAATATGCAGAATCATACCCAATGTGTGTGGCTTCTGTCCTTCCTTCACCAGTGAATACACATCTTGCTGCTAATATGTCACCGAAACTAACATCTACTGGGTGCTCCACAGGGTAGAAAGCCTGCCAAGAATCAAACATGAAGATTCATTAAAATTACCAACAAAGTCCAGAAACACTTGCTTTAATAACATGAGACCTAGAGCACCCTGGGTAGAAAGTATGAAGAGACACACCTCCACCCCTCCCCCACTCCCACCACCAGCACCACCATGCTTAGAAATATTAAGAGAACTGATAAGAAAACCACCACCAAGTTCAAAGTTGTATAAAACTAAGTTATACACAGTAAAGGTAGATTTAGAGATGTTTAGCATCTAGAGAAATTCACAAGGGTCCTATGAGAGCTTTTAAAATTGCAATCTGCTGCTTACTATTTTTTTTTTAATTAAACTAGATTCTACACACCTGTGGCAGTTGGGGGCTCTGGCGTCCAACCAGTGCCCACTGTCCATTTCTTACTCTGTATCCACTTACTACCTTACCTGAAATGAACACAAATTATAATTATATAATACAATAAGGTATTAGAAAAATAAAATCATCATTTGCTTTCTTAACTCAAAATAAAATCTAGATATTTTCAGAACCTCAAATGCAAGGTGTTTTAATGAAAACAAAATGATGAAAAATCATACAGAATTTCAAAATATTGAGCAAAATCGCTTTCTCTGAAACAGATTTAATGTCAATTTGCATTTTATATTTTTAGCATTAGCAAGCACAATGGTAAATATTTGTAATTTAACAGGTAGTTTAATGTTCTTACCTAAATGATGAGTGTGAACTCTATAGGCAAAGACATGCATTGGATAATTATTATAATGACATGAAATGTCAGAATTCACCACTGTTAGAAATAAAAACAAAGAAAAAAAATCACCATTCAATACTAAAAGTATGTACAAGATATTCACAAGCTGCTAGGCATGGGGTTTTTCTTATGAAGTAAACAGGCTCGCATATACAGCAGACACTAAGCACTCATTATGTAACAGCCACTTCACTAAGATAAGTTAAAATCCCTTTGTCTTCACATTTTATAACATTCATAAACAAAATGACTAGGGCCAAATCAAAATATCCTATCAGTGAAAATAATGGCTTAATTTGTTACCTTTATCATAAAATTTACACAGTTGAAAGGCTTAAACATTGTTTTTAAAATTCATTTTATTTTATTATTATTATTATTTTTTAATCCTCGCCTGAGGATGTTTATTGATTTATATAGAGAGGAAGGGAAAAAGAGAAAGAAAGAGAGAGAGAGACATCAGGTGAAAGAGAAACATTGATCAGTTGTCTCCCATATAAGCCCCGACCAAGAATAGAACCCACAACCTAGGTATGTGTCCTGACTGGGAATCGAATGTGGAACCTTTTGGTGTACACAATAATTCAACCAACTGATCCACCGGCCAGGGCTGTTTTATTTTTAAAACAGAAGGAATTTTGAAAATTTGATTGCAAACACCTAAGACATCTAGATTCACAGTTCCTAATGAGAAGGGACTATTCTATATACTTTTCCTTCCTTAGAGTCTAACGCATAGTAACTATTCAATAAATGCCTTTAAATTAAGCCAGTGAACAGTTACAATGGGACCGTATTTGTCATTAACTTTTAAAGATTCCCAGTAAATCAAATGAAAAATATTTAATTCGGCACTTACACCAGAAGATCAGACACAATGATAAATAATATTTTACTTATTCCAGTAATTTTTTTGTAAATTTAGGAGAATCAGCTATTATCCCCATTTACAGATGGGAAAATAAACCCAATATATCTAAGTTCAATGAACTTGGATAGGGTTTTCTTAGGAGCAGCTTTTAACTTTAACTTTCCTGATATCAGTAGAGTCACTTGGCATGAATTAATTAAATAATAAATAAAGCACTTTTCAAAGCAAAAAAAAAGCTTGCTAGTTTCTTGAGTTTTGAACCTAATATTCTTTCAGTAGTTTATTATGCAGTATTTTATGAAATTAATGTTTGGCATCTAAAAAATAGGTGACTGATTTCTAAAATACTAGTACTCAAGATTTATTCTTTAATTTATATAACCCACTACCTACCCAGGGCCTCAATGCTGAACATCTCAATAAAATAATAGAAAATAATAAACTACTGTGTTAAAAATAATGTAAAAATCTATTTTCAATCCAAGGATAATAAAGAATTGATTTATTTTTCAGGGACTTAAAAATATTGGTCATTTCAAAAGCTTATAAAAACTATACACTAAATCCACTCCTATAGATTAGGTAATAAGGTAATAGTAAATTCTAAAAGGCCATTACTCACCTTTCTCTCCTGCTGGTATAACAGTGTCAACAGACATCATAAGGTACATGCCAGCAATTAAGGGCTGTCTGCAGAAAACAGTAATATTTATTTCATCTATTTGAAAAGTCAAAACTATTGCCTTGGAAAAATAATGTACACTGCAATATATTGGTCTATAGAATATCATTCATGTGAAAATTAAAACAAGATAATATTTTAAAAAGGTAGAATTTTTCTGAAAAATAACGTATTTTCTTGGGCAAATAGCTTAGTACACATATCTATGGCATGGTGAATGTGGAGGGCAGCATTTAAATGGCTCCTGTGATGGCTGATTGTGTCAACGTGGCTAGGTTTAGTGACCAGTTGTTTGGTCAAATACTAGTTTGGATGTTGCTGTGAAGGTACTTTTAGATATGTTAATATTTAAATCATTGACTATGAGTAAAGCAGATTACTGTCCACAATGTGGGTAGGTCTCTTAAGAGAAGAGATTGAGGTCCCATGAAAAGAAGGATTTCTACCTCCTCCAGACTGCCTTTGAACCCAAGGTGGCAAAACTGACTCTTGCCAGAATTTCCAGCCTGCCAGACAGCCTTTCAGATTTCAGACTTGCCAGTTCCCAAAATTGTGTGAACTAAGTTCCTTAAAGTAAATCAATCTCAATCTCTCTCATGTATATGTAAAGAACTTAGAAGCATATATGCATAACCCATGGACACAGATAACAGTGTGGTGAAGGCCTGGGGGTGGGTGGGTATGGGGGTCAATGGGGAAAAAGGGCGACATTTGTAATACTTTTAACAATAAAGATACATTAAAAAACACACCATTCTTTTGGTTCATTTTCTCTGGAAAACACTGACTAATATACCTCCCAATGATTCCTAGCTTTCATATTCATGCCCTTGTCTAATCCTCTTCCCTTGAGTTTAGGTTGACCTAGTAACTGAACCCAGTAATTTGTTATTTCTAACAAACAGAATATGGCAAAAGTGATTTCTGTCTTTTGTTTTCCACAGGAGTCAGACTATGAAGATTTGTGGCCAACTATTTTCTTTACCTATCAGACATTTGTTATTTAGTAACTTATGAGATTAGGCTATAAAAAACACTCTGCCTGCCACCTTGCTTTCTCCCTTGCTGGCTGTGATGGAAGCCAGCTGCCACGTTGTGAGTTGCCCTGTTTAGAGTCAATATCGCAAGGAAATGAGGAAGTCCTCTAGCCAACAGTCAGAGAAGAACTGAATCCTGTAACAGCCAAATGAGTGATTTTGGAAGTGGCTCCTCCCGGGCCAGCCCCCAGATGAGTGATATACCAATCAAGAGTGAGACCACCAGCCACAATTAAGATGTGCCCAGATTCCTGACCCACAGGAAACAATAAGTAATTGTTGGTTCAAGACACTAAATTGAGGGTAATTTGTTAGACAACAGATAACTAACAGTGGATTTCCCCCTTTCATGTTCTCAAAGATCTCAAAAGCTGTCACTCAGCTAAGATAACTGGAAGTACTTACGGCAGGCGTGTGAGATGTAAGGACACACCAGAACAGTCCTTGTGATTATCTGAAACACACATAAAAAATATACATCTTAAATATGAAAACATGCAAAACAAATTTCAAAATAAAACATTTTAAAAGATTATAACTCAATACTAACAAAAACTATGTTTCATTTGTATGGTGCTTTACAATTTGCAGAGTATTTTCATATTAATGAATTCATTCAAACTATCATTTCAAGCACACTGTGATTTTTTCTTGGCTTATCAAACTGACCAGTTATCTGCTCGCCTGCAGACATACTAGATACTAGTAAGCTCACAGAAGGAAGCTGCTGCTACTCTCTGTGTTGTTGAAATATCCAGAAAAGTTGTTCTATGGGGCTCTAATCAGCTACTTTTTCTTCTTTAAAAAATAGAAACCACATAGAATCTCCTTGTTAGGTTTCTAAGACTTGATCAGCCCCATATTCTAAACAGAAACCTACTCATTCTTATTACATCCTAACTTCAGTGGAAAGCTCCAAGTATCTCTTTATCTTTGCCAAGGACATTTCAGAAACCTCTTACAAATCCTCCCTCTTCTATCTTCCACTGCCTTCCCCAAGTAGAAATTAGGTAAAAATTTAAGTCATTCATCCAAGTCCTTATCTGTGATGAACTTGCTGATGTCTCACCAGAGACCATGAACAGTAACTCATACTTATTCATTCTCTTTCTGTCCATGCTAAATTCCTTCTCCTTTGCATTTCATTCTAAGAAATTATAAAACTTTATATCTCAATGTTGAGAGTTGATTTTAATAGAAATAACTATTGTATTGTGTACATGTGTAAAATTGACAGATTTATGCTAGAAATGAAGTGAAGTGTGCTAATAAATAACACCAGATGGAGTAGTTTCTTTAAGGTAATTTTTTTTTAGCTGTAATTCTCATGCGAAAAACAAAGGTAGCTTCATAAAGAAATATATAACAGTTAACCAGACATGCATTTTGATTTATCATAGACAAAGTTTAGAAAGTATAACAAACCATATTTAATACTTTGCTAATAAAATACAAAGGAAATTTCTCTGTACAGCAGATTATTAAGCTTGATCTTAATAAAGATGGTTCAGAAATAAACTTATGACAAACATTTTATATCTAACACCCTGTTTTTTGTTGTTGTCTTTAACATTTTACAAAGGAATATCTATCCAAGCTAAACCAATTTCAGTAGGGTGCTATTTTCGAAATAATTTCAGTGGTGAATTTTAAAGAGATGGGAAAAATAATAGTAGCAATAAAAATAACAACCACTGTTTTATCTCATTTTTGCCTATGTTTTTAAATATAGAAAGAATAAATGAGTACTGTTTTTTAATTTATTAAAAGAAACATTTTATTTTTGAGAACAGATTTCCTAAATGTACTGCATGAGGTTTAGTAAATTTGCCGAGTTTGTGCTACTTTCAAAATGACTTCACCCAGAATTATTTAAGTATCTCCACTGATCAAATGAGAATGGTGGAAAATATACCATTCATTCATATTAAATGAATTCTAAACTCTAGAGCCTCACCTAATTAGCTTAGTAGACTTCAGGGGAAACATTTCTCATGTGTAAAAAAACATCATATCTATCTTAAAAGGTTACTTTGAGAGATGGCAGTCATCCATTCAAATAATACTTATTGAGCAATCATGATATTCAAGCACTGTCTTATACACCGTGGATACAGTGAAAATCAATATATTCAAGTTTCCTGCCCTCATGGTATTATCCTCTAACAGGAGTGAAGAAAGGGGGAAATGGAGTAGGAATAGGAAAAAAACAAAACTCAAATATATAAACCAGATAATGTCACACAGTCAACTCAACAAGCTAAGAGATAGTGGGGTAGCCGTTTTATCTACTGTGGTCCAAGAAGGATGGAGTGGCCATGAGGCTGGCAATTATCCAGCATCACAGAGCATGTTAAAAGTCTGTTTTATTCTCTGTCTGTAAAGAAGCCATTGGAAGATTTTAAGCAGTGGAGTGACGAACCCTGTAAGGTGTTCACCTAGCACAGTACCTGGCACTTGCTAATTCGTGGATGTTGGGTTTGTAATTTTTTATTTTAATTAACAATACCAGGAGAGAGTCTGTTCCTCATCCAATGTTCATCCAAGCAGAAGGGTAAAAGTGCAAGGAGAATTGTCACTTGGTTTTACATTACATCTTTGCATTGAATGAATCAAGTGAATCACATTTTGATAACCAACTTGGCTGATATTGTGTACCATGACTTAAAAAAATTAAATGGAAAAAATTAATAAGTAAATTAACATATTTCAAGAACTGTTAAAGAAGTTTATCATTGAAGTTGAAACATGTCTCCAAATTAAGAGCAGCAGGAATGTTACTATTGCCAGTAGCAGTGCATCTTCCTGGTAGATAATGTTTTTATTAAAATTGTCTAAATTGAGAGCTTTTTACTCAAAAAAAGAACAGCTACTGCTATATAATCGTTGTCTACTTGCTTCCTTTTTTAAAGGTGAGCTAGTCTCACCACTCACTTCACTGCAAAGACATGTTTTCTTTGATCCTACGTGTTTATCAATGACATGACATATCCTATAAGAAAGTCAAGTATAACACACAACAATAACAAAATGGCTAAAAACTCAAGTAATACTATGATGTAATCAACAATTTTTTGAGAAAAATATACTGGACATCTGACTTACATATTTTATAACATAATGACTTTAGGAAAAACTGGATTTTAGAGGCTCTAAGTTTTGTCCAATAAAATGTAAATCTTATATGGATAGAGAGATGGTGAATATAAAGACCCAAAGGGAAAATTTTGCCTTTTTACAAAAAACAAAACAAAAAACAACCCAGAAAACAAAATACAGAGAAGGAAAATTAGTGAAGAGATATACTTTTAAAACCACACTAGAGTTTCTAAGTCATGGCTGAAGGAATTTACAGCAAATTTATCTGGCCAGTTTGATGGTGTGTGTGTGGATGAATAAAACTCTGCTGTGTGTGTGGGTGCATGTGTGTATAAGCATGTATTTATTGTGGTTTAAATTATGGATAACACTTTAGATTATCATTATTATTTAACCATGGGGTGAGAGAATTACAATTCTAACTGTGTGACTTGAAGAAATTCTGTTATTTGGTAATGGATATATGCACATTTAAATGATATTTTAGTTGAACAAAATTCTAGATGTTATCTCAAAGTAAACATATTTGCATATGTTTTTTACATTAGAGTCAACTGCTATTCATATAGTTATTATTTAAAAATCAATTTTATTATTGCAAATGATTGTGATCTTTTCTAGTACAACTTTCTACAGTTTGACCAAAAGGGCCCGTATGCTTCCCACAGTGGGAAGTCTCAGTGGGAGCAACTTAAACTCCCTCAAACAAGGTGGTCTGGGATCAGGAGGGCTCCTGGATACATAGCTAGCTATTCCTATAGCAAGTGCAGCTTGGGAGGGAGGCATATTTCAGCCTCGTGTTTGGTGTGAAGATTCTGACCTTCTAACTCCAATGTGATCCTTGCACAGTGATACATTACTATTTCCATAACCTCTACACTGATCTTACTTCTGGTGAATTCAGAAACTTCAGCAAGTTTTGCATATTTTACCAATTATTTCTATTGCGCTCTGACTTTGTCTGCCCTTCTATTGTAACACAGTGCTTTAGCCACGAGATATGAAGCCTTGTAAGAATTTATTCATATCCATTCACGAGGCTATATATGAAATCTGTCTGACATGCACCATCATAAAAAATGATTGACTAACAATGTCTATTATAACTAAATACATCAGTGCTTCTGCTAATATTTTATCACATAAGATGAAAAAAAATTAGAACTGAGATAGTTTAGAAATATACAGAGAATTAACTCAGAATATCAACATCATATGCTGGCTGGAAAGGGTAGTTGGAAGGACTGATTCTGTGACTAAAATGAAGAGAAAAGAGAAGAGATAGATGAAAAAGTTAATGCAGGGCAGAAGACCACAGAAACAATTTCCATAGCTTACAAAAAGATGGGAAATGGTCTGAAGTTATAGGATTAAATTTCTCTGAATGAAATATAGGCTAGGAAGTAGAGTACTCCCTTAATTTGTATTTCAATATAAATATTGTACAATATGTAAGAATTATTGCATGGAAAATTTAGAATCTGTGTATTTTAATCACACACAATTACTGGACCACCGTGCCTTGTAAGATCATCTTCAGATTTCAAATAGGTCCTTATTGAGTTACTTTATCTAAAATGGATAGAATCTAGAAGGCTATCTATTTGATAATTAATAGATTTGTACTCATAATCAATATTGATACCACTAAGAAATGTCAGTCTATAAATGAAATAATCTATGTAAAGAATACAGCACTCCATTTGGAGCACAGAAAAAAAATCCAATAAATTTTAGTTATTAACACCATTATTCTTTTTATTGGTAGATTCCAAAAAAATTTTCAACACATGGATAATTTACTTTAAAATTATATTTCAGTTATAGGTCTGGAATTTCTCCAACTAATAGCATAGGAATAGAAGAAAGGGGAGAGCAACCTGGGAATTCTAAATGAGTAAAGAGATGGTTAAAAAAAGAAATTAGAATTGAAATGGTATATTAAATAAATTGCAAAAAATAGTTATTCTCAAAATGGGAACAGAAATGCTGATTCAGAAGAGTCTGAACTAGGTCGAAACAGAATAGAGTCACCAGTGAGATAAAGACATTTTTAGTAAGAGACCGTTATGCTAAATGAAATAAGCCCATCAGAGAAAGACAAGTACCATATGATTTCACTCATATGTGGAATCTAGTGAACAAAATGATCTAACAAGCAAAATAAAGACAGACTCATAGATAGAGAGCAGGCTGACAGCTGTTAGAGGGGGCTGGAGGCCTGGGTGGGGTGGGGTTGAGGGATTGAACCAAAAAAAAGAAAAAAAGAAAACCTCATGAACAAAGACAACAGTGTGATGATTGCTGGGGGGAGGAGGAATGGGGAGAGGTAGAAGAGAGTATTGGGGGGATAAA